GCCCCGCGCGCGTCCGGGGAGACCGGTCCGTGTTTTTCGAGGTGTGGGAGATGCGGAGCGCGAGCTCGGCCGTGGTCCCGGTCGTGGTTCTCACGCCTGTGGAATTGCGAGCCTGTTCGAGGAGGCTGGTGTGCGTGTACAGAAATACTTGTGTGCTCCCGAGTGAATTGTCGGGCTGTCAAAATACATTAATAGCTTTTTTTTGTGATGTTTTTGTCTTGTTTTGGGTTGTTATTGTTTTGTTGGGTTTTGGTTGGTTTGGTGGGGGTTTGTTTTTGGTGGGGGTTTTGTTTGTATATATTTGTGTTTTTTTTTGTTTTTTTGGTTTTTTTTTAAAATTAAGACATATATTATAGAGGTCATCCACTGACATGTGGAAGATATATTTTCTAATACAAAGCTCACTTTTATCCTTAGAAGACTGTGCCAGAGAGTCTTAAAAAGGGAAGAATTCACGAGGAATTGCATTCCAGTTTCCTTCTTAGCGGGGTACTTGTAAATGATGATATTTGTGATTTAATTGCACGACAAATTAGAGAGATGGATTTCTCATGCTTTAAAGCATGCTTTGATGTATAAGCAGCAGCTGGGTATTTACAGATATTTCCCAGAATATTTACAAGTACGTTTTGCCTCTCAAAGCCTTAAAATTTTCCCTAGCATAAGAATGGTTTCAGTGATCAAAAATGTAGCTTCTGCAATGCAAGTACCCTGCAATATGAACACTGTTTGGAAGCTGAGAAGTCCACATTAAGATGTACCTTGCAATTATGAAGGGAAAGCTGCTCCAAGCACAAATGAAGCTGTAAGTTTCTGACTTCTCTAATTCACTAGAAAATGTCAAAACTGTATTTGCCCTCCTTGATATTTAGGAAGAAAAGTGTAATGCACCATCTGGAGAAAAAGTGGAAGAAGCTGATCAACCCAGTGATATAGAAGAAGGAGGATTAGATCTCAGTGTGCCACTCAAACCTGTCAGTTTCTACATTGCAGACAAAAAGGAAATGCTTCAACAGTGTTTCTGTATCTTAGGGGAGAAGAAACTGCAGAAGATGCTGCCTGATACCTTAAAGGTACCAAAATACATTTACCATTTATATACATGTTAAGAGCTTGAATGCTTGTGTTACAAAGCACATTGATCTCTCAAGTGTAGTGCATTTACAGTTTAAAAGCTGCCTGGATATGTCTTAAGTAAAGAAGTCTATAGCAAGTCAAGTACTTTTCTGAGGTAAAGAAGTCTCTTTCTCCTGTCTTCAGACATGAGACTGTTGAATGATTCGTTATAGTTATTCCAGATTACTCCTTTTTCTACTGCTCAGCGATTGCATTGCTGAACTGCAGGCTTATTTTCATCCTGTACTGATTAGTTAAATGCAAAAGGAGTTTCATAATTGCAAGGAGTAAATTCAGTAGCATTGTTCACTAATTAATATGCTGATTTCTTAAGAAAATATTGGTTTCTCTTTGTGTCAGCTGATTTATTTATATTTTATTAAAGCAGTCTGTGAGATAAGATTCCTTCTTGATAAACAGCTTCTGAAGCTCTAACTTCTGTAGACTAAAACTAGAGTTTTACTGGCTTAGATCATATGGTTTTTGAGTCTTGTGATCGGCAGGACTTAGTAAAAATAGATTAAGATAGCAGGTGAAATGCCATTTGTGTGATATTTGTTAATAGTTTTTAAATTTTTGTCTTCAATTTTTATCTAAATGTGTCATTTTATTAATATAAGTGAGGCCGGAATTCCTCATTTTAAACATATAGTGAACTGCAGTCTCAGCCATTTCTCATCTCTGGAAGAAGAAAAGAGATCGAGCAGCTGGAGGCAAAGGCATTATTGAGTTTGATAGGAAATTGCCTGGTAGTGTAGAACCAAGCCTACAGTAGAACTGTGAATGTTACAACATGCTTAGCACTTCCTAGTTTTGGTACTTGTGCATGGTATCATAGGTCATTTGAAAGTGTGTAGTTACCTCTTGGTGAAATAAAGTGGTATGACACATGTGAAGGTAACTGAAATACCCATAAAATCTGTGGCAGCGTATGGTGTGTATCGAGTATGAGAAATGGACCACAGTTTACATACTACTTTTGTTTGCTGTGTTGTGATATACAACTGTTGGCATGTTGTCAATAGCAGTGTTTTCTTCAGTTTGTGAACTTGGATTCAGCAGTTGGCTCTGGTCTTTGCAAGCTTAATTATGTAATCCACCTCCTCCCAAGTGATGGAGAATTAGGAGAATTAGGTCTGCAGTTCTTTGCTGTTTCATGTTTCGTATCTGTGGCCCAGTATTCCTAGTGCTCAGCATTGCAGTTGCAGTGAAGACTCCCAAGCCACAGGTCAAGTAACTGATAGTGTGTATTGCTTAATTTTTCAGAAAAAATATCTCCACATATGCTATTCTGGTTGTTATCAAAACTGGAACACCTTGTTTTCTACAGCAGTTGCATCAATGCAGATCAGAATAGGGGAAGGGCTTGCAATCCAAGTTAACTTTTCATTCATTACAATGGGAGTACTACTTATATTTACAATTATACTTTCCTCAGAAATTTTTGGTAGCATGTGGTCTGTCTTATCTGTTTTAGAACTGTTCCATGGACGAAATCAAAAGGCTTTGCATGGAGCAGTTGGAGCTGTTATCTGAAAAAAAGCTGTTGAGGATACTTGAAGGTATGAATGAAACTTTTCGGCTCCACTGTACACCAGAGAATAGTCTGCTTCAACTGGATTTACATTCTGATTCTAGCTACTTTTATATGTATGTATGTATATATATATATATATATATGTACGTATGTGTGTATATACACACACACACACACAGAGTAGTAAGTATATATTAGTGTGTATATTATCCCTCTGTTCTGTCAAGACACACACACTTTGTTTAAGAATATGACATTCCAGCTTTTCATTAATTGAAATGGCACTTGATAATTAAGGGCTGTAGAATTTCTTTACAAATGTATTGCAGTCTTCTCAATGAAGTTGAACTCTTATGAGTCTTGAATGCTGTAGAGTACCATGCTCTTAATTCTGTCTCCTGAGCTTTTGTCTCCTGAGCTTTATGTTTAGCACCTGTAGTATTGTACTAGACATATCTAATCAGGTTTTGTTTGTAATACAGTGTAAGTGAAAAATGCCAGTTCTGTTGCTAGTGGAAAACTCACAAGGGTTTTGGTTTTGACTAAGTCCAGTTTTCAAGTTCTGCTTAAACTGGGAAGAAAAGCCCTCTTCTGCTGATTGCTATCGAATTAATAATTAAGAATAAGCCTAATTATGTAGTATTAATTATATCACCTTCCTAAATTTTCATGTTGAAACTGTGTATATCTAGGCAAGATTGGAGCTGATTCTGATACTGACGAGGAGGCAGATGAAGGAGACCAGGCTGGAGGTGATTCAGTCAGTCAGTGAGTAAAAGACAAACACTTACGTTTACTTTAAGAAGATTGAACAATACACAAATTTGTCATGAGATATGATCAAATACAGCTTTGAAAGACCCAATTGATTTATCCTTAAGTAAGTACTTATTCTAGTTGAATGGCAGTGGGCTGTGACTACTAGCAAGCACTAAACTTTCAAACATGTCATTGTCACTTTATAACATTAAGTGTGTCTTGAGCACATAACTGGGCTTATAGTGGTGTACTGCCCATCCGTTGAGTTGTGATAGTTAAACTTGCACACTTCTAGCCTGCAAAAGAAGTGATGTGATTTAGGTTAATTCTTTGTGTGAGCTAAGTATGCCAGGACACACCCCAGTGGACTTTTTGGAGCGATTTCTTTACTTGCCTGGCTCTTCATTTTTAGGTACTTAAAACAGTCTCTTCTCACAAATTTGTTTAACACATGCTATGAGTATCAACATGAAATACAGTCACTTTAGTTTTTGCTCTATTTCACAAATGTCCATCCATAGATCTTTTCCCTAGACCTCTTTGGAATATATTTTCCGATCTTTGGCTGCCCAGATTGGCAACTAGGTAGCTAACCCATTATCTGCTGACGAAGAGTCAGTATACAGATGGCATTCACCTAAATCTTCTTGTTTTAAAGCTATATAAATTGCATATAATTCAGCATACTGACTGCTCTTCCCTTCTGTTGTTTCTAAAAATTTCTCTGAATGAGGATGATAAGCTATTGCTTTCCAAAACCTTTTTCCTCCTATATATTTAGCTGACCCATCAGTAAACTAAACATGTTCCTTTTCAAGAGGTGTTAGCTGATCTAAAATTTTCCCCCATTTTACTGGGGATTCATGTTCAACTGTAAAGTTGGGACTTACTTTGTTATCCCCTGTGGGAGCAGTAGCTGCTTGCTCGTGAAGGGTAGCTACTCCACCGCTCCCTACCTTAGCTCTATCCTGAATGTACCACTTCCACTTTATAATACTTGATTCTTGAGCATGCCCAATTCGATGTGTTTTTGGGGAACCTTTTAACCTCTGCATAATAGGAATTTCTGGATGAAGAGACACTTCGTGTCCTATTGTGAGTTGTTCTGTCTCTACCAGAGCCTGATAACATGCCAGTAACTGTTTCTCAAAAGATGTATAGCTGTTTCCTGCCTCAGGCAGTTTTCTTCTCAAAAATCCCAATGGGACCTTCTTTTTTTCTTGTTTTTGCCACAGACTCCAATTAGAAGGAGACCCATTTACAGATACATTCAGTTCAATTTCTCCCTTTTGCATGGGCCATAAATATAAAGCTCTTTGAATAGCTTCTTTTGCTAATTCGAAGGCAGCCTGCTGTTCACACCCTATTCAAATTCATATCTTTTCCTTGTTACTTTATATAATGGGGTTAAAATTTGGCCCAAATGTGGAATATGTTGTCTCCAGAATCCAAATAATCCAATAAATTTCTGTGCCTCATTTTTATTTTGAGGTACTGCAGAATGCAAAATTTTCTGTTTAGCTTCGGGTAGTATCTCCCAATGCTCCCAATGCCACTGGATTCCCAGGAATTTCACGGTTTGGGAAGGTTCTTGAGTTTTAGTAGGGTTATTTTCCCAGCCTTTCTGTTTCAAATGATCTCCAGCTAATTCAAGGACTTGTTGCACTTCTTCCTCCCTGCTCCCCTGGATCAGAATGTCATCTATGTAATGATTTATTTGCATCTGAGAGGGAAGATGCAAATAATTATCTCATCCAAGTGCTCAGTCACAGTTCGATGACATGTGATCCCACTGTACATCCACCCTTGGGGCAATCTAGTGTAGATATGCTGTTGCCCCTGCCATGCAAAGGCAAATGGATCCCAATGCTTCTCAACAATGGGTATTGTAAAGAAAGCATTAGCCAAATCAATTATAGCATACCAAGTGCCAGTTTTTTTTACAATTAAAGTAAGAACATCTGGCACAGCTGCTGTAAGGGAGGGGCAGTGTGTTTGTTTAGCTCTCTAAAATCCATGGTCATCCTCCACAGTCTGTCACTCTTCTTAATGGACCGGACTGGGTCCATAATGGGTTATTCTAAGTGAAAGAAAGCATTAGCCAAATCAATTATAGCATACCAAGTGCCAGTTTTTTTTACAATTAAAGTAAGAACATCTGGCACAGCTGCTGTAAGGGAGGGGCAGTGTGTTTGTTTAGCTCTCTAAAATCCATGGTCATCCTCCACAGTCTGTCACTCTTCTTAATGGACCGGACTGGGTCCATAATGGGTTATTCTAAGTGGTGGTAGTTGACTTTAAGACTATCAAATAAAATCTGGCACAGCTGCTGTAAGGGAGGGGCAGTGTGTTTGTTTAGCTCTCTAAAATCCATGGTCATCCTCCACAGTCTGTCACTCTTCTTAATGGACCGGACTGGGTCCATAATGGGTTATTCTAAGTGGTGGTAGTTGACTTTAAGACTCCTGCATCAAATAAATCCTTAATTGTCTGTGAAATCTCTTAATGCTCCCCTGGAATTCTGTACTGTTTCATTGTCACTAATTTAGTAGCGACAGGAATCTATATGGGGCATTTTTACCTCTCCTACTAAGATTGGTTGGGCACTGATATAGTTCTTTTTTCCAAATGGAACAATTTAAATCCAAATGGATTTAAATTCAGTCTCTTTAAAATATCAATCCCAATTATGTATTCAGGGATAGGAACAATCATAACTGAGTAAGATCACTTTGGGAGGTTCCTTATTTTCATTTCCATTTCTGTTTGCACAGCTTCAAGTTGTTTCCCCCCCAAACCTGTTATTATTACAGATTGTTCTTTAAATTTCTTTGGGTTCTCATATATTGAAGAGGCTTCTGCTCCAGTGTCAACCAAGGCTTTTACAGTTTGTGAGGTTCAGTTTTTCCAAAAGATTTGAAGCTCCGCATGAGGCCACCAGTCCTTTCACATCCATTGTACCGGAGCTTGTCCATTATTTCACTCTTGTTTATTATGCTGAACTGTTCCCCTAGTCTCTTTCCAAGGATACAAGTCAGAGTGCGGCTCCCAGTCCTCACTCACCTCGGGACAGCTGATCCACCCGCGGAGGGCCCTCCCGGTGAGCAGAGCCAGAGTCCCATTGTGGATCCTGGGGGTACTGTAGGCTGAGTTGTTTCTTAATCTTTTGTTTAGAAATTTACACTGTCCTGTTGCTTTTATTCAATCCCCTCTCTTTACACATTTTCCACAAGTCAGGGGTCAGAACACCATCGATCTCATCTCTGGCCACACCATCCTGTAGTAAAGCTGTGAACATGTCCTTTTGAGAAATCCGAGCTTCACTACCTTTAGAATTGTCTTGGGTATGGGTATCCTGGTTTCCTGCACTTGCCCTGGGCCCCATTCCCCAAGGTCACCTAATTGCTGAACTTTTTCAGTTACCATATCAAGGGGGTTCCCTGTCTCATTGATCAGGAGGGTCATTATCACATTCTTGTATGCTGGTGGGGCAGTCTTAATCAGCCTGTTTTTTGTAGTAACAGCCAAAGCACCCTGCATCATGGTGTCAGCATGTCCTACATAAATAGCCGTTTTCATTCCTTCCTCCTTTATCCGCTGTATGCAGTCTCTCAGTGTATACCACGGGTGTTCAGATCCTGGCCAGTCATTGTCTGTGGGGTATTTGTTTTTACACCCCACAGCAGCTAAGGCTAACAAACTAGTACCCTGAGGGTTGCTTCGAAATGCATTTTGTACAAACGAATTTGAACTCAACGCCACAAACTTCTTAGCGTCCCACTCATCCAGACCAACTCAACTCCTGCTGCTCCCTGATGAAAAAAGCAGTTTCTCTGTTTATGTTCACACTGCTGTTTTATCCGAGTTTGTCTTCATCACTTGTGGGTTTTGTATAAATGACTACTTTTTCCTGCAGTCTATGAATGTTGCAAAACTAAAGCATTAAAACTTTTTATTGTTTTAAATCTGATTTGTCTTAGTTTTTTTCATGGAAATATAAATGTGAAAAGGGGAAAAAGTGAATAGCAAGTCTTAATCTAGTCAAATATATTTTAACTGATTGGAAGCACCAGTTTGTTTCTGTTGTTATTATTCTTTAAAAAAATTAATTCCACAAATATACCTTCAGCAATATGCAGTAATCCAGACAGCTTAAGTCAATACATCTCAAGAAATTGCAAGTGTATCAAAATTTACAGGCTTCCTTAGAAGGGCCTATTTTATGCTGTGTCTTTTTTTCCCCCTAAAATAGGCAAATGGCTGTCTGTCTCTGAAGACCTGCTTCCTGTCTGTACTAGTGAGATGTAGCAGGGATTTAGAGATGTTTATCCAGGTACAGGGACAGTTGCAGCAGTGAGATCTTCATCTGTAGCTTTTGGATGGTATTGCGTCTGTAATTGTGTTTTGGACCTTCCTTTTTCTTTTGCACATATCCTCATTAGCTTCCATTAGCGTATAAAACATGTATTCTTTTATTTTGTCACCAGCTGCTTCTGTGTTAAGCGCTAGAAATCTTGTAACAACTATGCAGAAGAACTGAAGAATCAGGGCCTATGTTTGCCAATAACTGGAAATTGCTGTTGAAATATATACACTTCATTATTTTTGAACTCTCTATAGGTTTTTGACTTGCGCAGTTATCAGATTTTTTGTTATTGTTTCTGTGTTACTATCTGCAGGGAATACTGTTAAACCAAGAGAATTACTGTATACCAACCATTATTAAAAGAATAAGCATGCTAATATCATTTTGGTGATCATATCTTCGTGTATATGTGAGTAAATGACCTTTTGCTTTCAAGGTCTTATTGGCCTTCTTATTTTCACTGAGTGAAAATTTGGCAGTTGAATGTTTGCTCTTTCACGAATGTATAGGCTTTTTACTGCTTTCCAGTAATAAGTGCAGTTTTTGCTTGTTTTGTTTTAGAAAGTTAGCAGATTAAAGTTTTGCCTTGCTTTAACGTGTTTTGCATCTGGGTACTGGGCTGTTGACAAGCGTGCAGTTGCCA